TATATATATATATATATATATATTATATGAGGATTACTATATCTGGATTAGTCTTTAATGATTTTGGATTTCACTATCTTTCTCTTAGAGTTAAAAATTAATTACTCTCTTTCAATTGAATTTAGTTAGTATTAGTTTGAAAATAAAAGTTTATAGAGGCTTAATTCTTATTAGGTATAGATCTAGGAATGCTTAGTTTTTCAAAAAATATAATTTATTTTTAGCAATAGTAAAATCATTTTCGTATTATCTCCTACATAAAATCTTAACTTTGGAACAATCTTATTCTTCCAAAATCTCAACTAAATTCTCTATAACATCCCTAAAATCAAAATCATAGTACCCTAAAGATAACACCATATACTACAAATCACTTTACAATGATATCAATTTAAGGTGTAGCCTACTGAGGACAAATAAAGTTTAAGCTTTTAAAAGTTTTTCTTTCTGACCCACTTGTCTTTAAACATGTTAGAACTAAGAGCAAGAATATAAAATTGAAAAATAAAAGCTAGTTAATTTTATTAGAAAAGTACAAGTATAAGTAGAAAAGCAAACATGAAAAAAGTACATCGCAACTCAACATTTTTCATATGGAATTGCTAAAAAAAATAAAATCTAATTAGTTCATCTAAGCAGAAGCAAAAAAAGGAGATAATCCAGAGCATAAACCCAAATAAAAAATACAACCAGTAGTAACTAGAAAAAACATAAATATACGCATCTAGTACAACCAAAATGGAAAGAACATCAACTCATCTCCATCATCATCATGATCATCATCCTCCTCCTCCTCCTACATAGACTTGCATTGTTTAAAGATCTGATAGTGTGGATAGGAAGGAAACTCCACTCTATTTTCTCCACCAATCAAATTATGTCGTCTAAGACCTTCCAACAAAGAGGCTTGAAAACCAACTTCATAATCAGTACGCCATTTATTTTGCATATCTAAGTGTTCCAAATAATCAACAGTTCCATATATCTAATCCTGCATAATGGATAAATCATCCTCTAAATTCTTCAAACAACCATAAATGAAGTTTAAGATAGCAGGAGGTCGAGCAGAAGCATGAAAAGTAGATGGTCTAGAAGTAGAAGGAGCTTCAGAAGTGCTAGATCCATGTCCAAGATTAGCCTTGCCAATAGGCTTCAATGGGTGCAGTAACTCCTCCTAACTCTCAAATCTAACACCAAATTGCTAACACTAACACTGAGAGAAAATAAGAGAAGGTAACCTAACCCTAAAGTAGAACTCTCCATGGCAGTACTGATGACAGATTTGTAAATCAGAGAGCCAATAACTATCTTCTTCATTATGTGAATACAAAAATTTAGCACAACTCTCTCCCTAGTCACTTCACTGAGATTGGTGAATGGTAAAAGTCTAGCAGAATAAAATAATGCCACGCCTTTAACGAAGCATTAAGCATGGATGAAGAAAATTTTACCTTATAATCATTTCTAATTTTCCAAACTCCTCTTCCGCCAGTCAGAAATAAAATAATCTCATCCAATTGTGAATCAATAGGATTAAATCCAGAGTATAAGAAATCAAGTATGTCTCCCAAATGATAAAATGCATTGATTCATGTAGAGGTAAAACACAGTCTCCTCTCCCTAACAAAAATAGAATCATCAAAAGCCACAGGGAGATTAACATAGAACTCTCAAACGATAGTTATAACAACTACGACAGTAGTGTAGCAAAAATTTTCTTGTTGTTAAGAAACAATAAGATGTTCAACAGCTCCACTAGGACTAGTAAAACTTGCAATAATTTTTTTCAATATGAGAAAATCATTGTATCTTTCCTGAGTTTTTTCACTGACAAATTTCTTCCTATCAAATGTTCCTTTGCACTTACCTCCTTTTGTCTTAGGAGCCATTGCAAATCTAGACAAAGTTAAATGAAGGAAGAAATCACTCTAAATGTAGTTGAAATTTGACTCAAAATGCAGATTTAGTGCTAAATAAACTCTGCCCAAGTGATTTTTCTCTTAGGAACCACCGAACTCTATAGAGTAACTAGTGATTTAGGGATGAAATATTATAATTTTAAAATATATTTTATAAATTTTATAACTAAAGACTTACCACGGTTAAACACTACACACTAGGTATTTTACACAAGTGCACGTATCATTCAAGTAATATTGGATTTTCTTTAAACCCAGATTATCGATCCCACGAGGAAGGCAGTTAATTGTAATGACTTATGAAAAGTTCTAAATGAATAAAAAAGTTTCTTAGCTAGGAAAAAAGTTTGAATTTAGTTTGAGCTAATGAATTCTACCAAACTACCACTAATCCTCTAAATTTTCTATAAATCTAGTTTCACTAAAGTAAAGCAAAGTAAGAGAGTTCAAGCTATTAAAACTTTCCCTCCTCTTTGCAATGAAATTAGTAACTTGTGTACATGTTGATCACTTAGAAATTATAGTTGAATTTTGAGAGAAATAGAAGCATTTATTTTCTTTAACCTTTTTCATGTGCAAAAAGAAATTAGGATAATTATGGAAGTGTTTCTGCATGTGACCCTAGAAATCTCCTAGCTAACCCCATTAAATTTATCTCCCTATTTATTTGAACTAATCTACAGATTACTTTTTATTCACCCTATAGATCAATAAGGTTCTTACTCGTTGTTAACTCCACCGCCCTCCCATATCTTAATGTAACTTTAACAAATTTTAACACAACATTTGCCCAGATTGAAATGTAAATGACGCTTGAAGTAAAAACCTTCATAATCTTGAAATGAAATTCATTCTAATTGAATCCACATCGTACACATGTTTCTATTTCATCGCAAGTGGAAGGAGTAAGAGTTTTCTCAAAGTACATGAAGAAGACACAAGAGCACATTATCTTATAATAAATCAAAGGCATAAATATGAAATTACTTAATACAAGATAATGTGCAACAAAATACTTATCTTCCACCCTGAGAACATAATGGAAACTCTACCCCAGATGATCTCCAAGACCTCCTTGCACTGCTACAACAATCCCCTTACAAATTCACTTAGATTTCTCAAAGAAAATACAAAAATGAAAAATGAAAACTTATATCTCCCCTCCATTTCTGCACTCCTTTGCTTTCTCTCTACTTCCCAAATGTTCTCCTCCTCTTCCTGAATTGCCTCCTTGTGATAAAAACCCCAAAATCGTGTAAACTCGCTGAGAAAACTATCCAGGACAGTGCTGGTGCCTAGGTGCCACTTGCTCGGGTAGGCTAGGAAAAACACTAGCACTTAGGTGCGAGTATGTGGGGTCAGGGCACCATCTTCTCGGGAGTTTGGGCATGATCCGACGCTTATGCGCCCATATTTGGCGCCATGGACTGTCGCCTAGACTCCAGAAGCTGACGCCTAGGCTCTAGTTCAGTGCTTCGCTCCATTGCTCCATTCACCTCCAATTCGCTTCGTTTTCACTCTAATTCACACTAATTGCTTTACCTATTATAACTGCACCAAAAAAATAGAAATACCTTCTATTAAAGCACAATATCATTAAAAAAATATTAAATAGAAAAAAAAAATTAGCATGCTACATGACATGTCAATTAGCAGCTATTTGGTTCATTCAAAATAAAAAATCAAGAGTAAAAGGAATAAAATTTATATCAACTATGAGTAAACAAATTATTAAAAATGGTGAACGCTTTAGATATCCAGGGACAATTGTTGAAAGTGATGGTGATATAGATGGGGATGTTATAAGTAGAATTCAAGTTGGTTGGTTGAAGTAGAGGAATGCTTCGGGTCTATTATGTGTATAAAAGTACCACTTAGACTGAAAGGTAAATCTTATAAGATGGTGGTGAAACTTGAATGCTCTTTGGCTCATAATATTTTGGTCTTTAAAAGAGAAGCATAAAATTAAGTTTAGTGTTGCCGAGATGAGAATGCTTAGGTGGATGAGTGGCTTCACCCTTAAACACAATTGCGAAGTGAATTTATCCATGATAGAGTTGGTATAGCTCCTATGACGGACTAAATTAAAGAGTGTCATCTTAGATGGTTTGGTCACATTAAATGTAACTATCTAATGATGTGGTTAGGAGAGCAGATGTTTTAGATTTGAGTTATGTTAAGAAAGACAGAGGGAGACGTAGAAAGATTTGGGTATATTAAAAATAATCTCAATTTATTATAATTAAATGAAAATATGACATTCAATAGAACTTAATGGAGAAAAAAGATTCATGTAGTCGACCACACCCCACTTAGTGGGATGCTTAGTGGGATAAAAGGCTCGTTGTTGTTGCTGCTGCTGTGGTAAATTAAATTAGAGAAAAGATATTAGCAGCTATTTGATTCATTGAAATAAAAAAATCAGGAGTAAAAGGAATAAAATTTATGTCAACAAAGATTTTTCCCCACATGAAGTTAGACGTTTCTCGTTTCATTTCTTTGATCATCATGGCTGCCACAATATCCGTAAAAAACAGAGAGCAAAATCAGGAGATAAGAAGTATCTTTTGGTCGTATATTCCTAGAAAAAAGCAGTATATATCCTCCGCCAGTAAACACTTGAAACCAGAAAACTTCTTCACAGACCTTCCTCGGTAGGTAACAAGATGGAGTTCGTGCATTGGTTGGCGTTCGCAGCCACAGCGGTGATGCTTGCGGCGGCGAGTTGGGTCGGATGGTCGTTGGCGGAGTGGTTATGGTTCCAGCCGCGGCGTTTGGAACGCAAGCTGAGGGCGCAGGGGCTTCGGGGAAGCAGGTATCGTTTACCCTCCGGTGATATCAAGGATATTGGGGATCTCGTCGGAGAGGCTCGCCGGAAACCTCTGCAGCTTTCACACCAGATAGTTGATCGAGTCGATCCCCATTTAACTCGCATTGTTGATATTTATGGAGGTAAATCTGATTTGTTTTATTTTATTTTATTTTAAGCTGTTTGTTTGGGTAAATCTGTTCTGCTGTTCTGCTTTTAAATTTTTGCTCCTGCTGCTTAGAGGTCTTTAGGGTTTCGTTGGCCTTCGGTTTGGGGAAGGAGGTATGATTTGCGGGGGGTATGATTTGCGGGGTTATTTGCGGGGTTATGGAGTAATTGTAGACTGAAAGTAGTCTTGTTTTTTACGCATGGCAAGTTTAATCCTGACAAAAGCGCAGCAGTAGTTTACTGTTTGCTGGATTTTTGGGTTTATTGAAAGGCAAAACATAAAACGAATTAATTGAATATTGACATGAATTCAATTAATTAAGCTAAAATGATATCATTTTTTTATCGAATATGAATTATTACATAAATTTTAACTAATTAGAAGACTTTAATTTTTTTAAATAATTAATTAAACAACTTATTAATCATGGATCATTTTTTATTATATTAAGTAATTAAGGTCTTCTTTGAAATTATTTTTAATTTTCTTTTAAATATACATGTATAATGTTTTAAATTTTTTTATTTTAAAAAATAAATCAAGTTACTTTTAAATTCTCTTAAAAAATTAGACATGTTTTAAGAAATTATAGCTTCTCTCTCTTTTCTCAACTCTATCACTTGATGATCGATCAATTTTAAAATAAAGAGAAAATTGACACTTAAAGAGGTAGAAATAAGACCCTTAAATTGCTCAACCTTTATTTGACCAAACGTCAATAAAAGTCTGATTAAGTAACTCTGATTTTGACCAATAAATTCATGCCCACCATTAATGAATAAGTTATACATTATTAATAAATATTATATGATTCATTATCAAGATAACATTTAAAATAATGATTATCCTTAATAATAACATAATGTTAGAGTATTATTAAGTCACTTTTAAATTTAATTCCATTACATTATTTTAAATGTTATTTACATTACATTCTTCTACTTTGTTCATATAATATTTTCAAATTAACAAACACAATTTATAGTGCGAGTAAATTTTTTTCTTAGTTTGGTCAAATCATAAATTTATTATTAAGAACGAAAGAATAGGGATCACGGTGATTTTATACAATCAGTACGATGCATTTTCTTTCATGTATCATAATGTTAGTTTCATGCTTAATATAATTCATAATGAGATATTATCATAATGGTCCATCAATAATGTCTTTGTTAAACACAAATACTCTTAAAATTCTTATTTTTCATTCATTTATTTACAATTAAGTATAGTAAAATCGAATGTATCAATATACCAAAAATACTACTAAATGAGCTTAGAGAGTTAAATATGTAAAGAACATAAGCTAAAACATAAAGTCATTAATTTTTCCAGTGATTTACATTCTTTTCACATTATTAATTAAATCTTTTTTGTTGCAATCCTTTAGTAAATGGATCGACAACCATAAGATTGGTGTTAATGTGCTAAAATGAACTATTTGTTTATGAAAAACTTCTTTGATGATATATTATTTCAATTTCATATGCTTAGCACCCTCTGATACTCATTATTCTTAGAGATGAAAACAAAAACAACATTATGGCAATAAATTTTCAATGATTTAATAATACTATGAAATATTCTAAGCCCTAAAAATTTCAATAGTTGGATAAAAAGGACAAAGTTGATGACTAAAAAAGTAATAGTTGACAATTGAGGCTGTTGTTAAAAGCCGTGACAATGGCAGTTGGCTACAAATACCAAATTTGTTTACTGCACATGCAATAGATGGTCATCAAAATTGTGATTGAAATCGGCACTATTCTTAGCTAGTCATAGAGGTCGTATTGATGAATATAATAGTATCAATTGATTGTAGATGCCATATTTGGAAGTTGTAATAGTGTCAATTGGCCACATAGGCCATAATTGATGCATCAATATCATTAGTTGGTCACATAGGCTATAATTAGTGATTGTAATATCTTCAATTGACCATAGAAGTCATAGTTAGTTACTACAATTTTATCAAGTAGTCACAAAGGTCGTAGTTGATGATTGCAATAATATTAGTTGGCTATCGAGATCGTAGTTGTTGATTACAATATCGCCAGTTTGCCACAAAGGCTGTATGTAAGAGTTGTAATAGTGCAGTTGACCATATATGTTATATTTGGTGAATGCAATATCACTGGTTGGCACATAGGTCATAATTGGTGATTGCAATTGCATTAGTTGGACATATAGACCATAGTTGAAATATATAGTAGTAGTTGCACAAGGCTGTTGTTGTTTTTTACATAGACATTAGTTGGCCGCAAATGCCATAGTTGGTTGCTGCGTAGACAGTAGTTGTCCACAAGGGTCGTTACTGGAAGTTGTGATAGTAATAGTTGGCCAAAATGGTTCTAAGTGCACATGCAGTAATTAGCTACAAAGTTCATGGTTGAAAGCTGCAATATTGTCAATTGGCTATAAAGATTGTATTTGGGGAGTGCAATAGTGTAAGTTAGACACATAGATCATTGTTGAAAGTTATAATAGCGTCAGTTTGTCACATAGACTATAGTTTGTGACTAAAATATCATTTATTGGTCATATATTTCATAGTTGGTGATTGCAATATCATTAATTTGCCACAGAGACTGTAGTTGGTGAATGCAATACCGTTGGTCAGCCACAGATTTCGTAGATGGTGACCACAATAACGTTTGTTTGCCCGCATATGCCATAATTCAAATTTATAAAAGTAGTTTGTCTTATAGGTTTTACTTGGGAGCCGTAATAGATTCAGTTGACCACAAATGTTGTAGTTGAAATTTGTAAAAATAGTTTGCCGCATATGCCATAGTTGATGATTGAACCTCTTCTTTTAGAACGAGATTATAGTTTTACACTGGACACTATATTTGTCAGTATACAACATAAAGAAAGATATATATGTTAGGTACAACCATTGTATTCTAGCTGCGACGATCATAAGAAGTAGTTTTCAGTCGCTTATGGTTGGTGGTGGCAGGTGGTGATGATTGGTGGTGGTCAACAATGGTTAACGACTGTGGAGGCTGGAAGTTATCGTTAGGTCTTCAATACAACGTTGGTAAGCAATTGTTACTGATGACAACAAGCAAGGTTGACTGATGATGACCGACGGGTGGTAGTCGACAGTCATCATCTGCTACGAAGGCCTGAAGTTATCCCAGAGTTTATAATACAATGTTATACATTACAATAGTAGTTTTGATACGGCATTAGCATATAAGGGTCGTCGACGGCGGTGAACAGGCTTGGGGTCGCCGATGGCGTGGAGCAGGGGTAGCTCGCGGTTGTTGAAGGTAGCCGATAGGCGGTGCTTGAAAGTTATCTCCTAGTCTTAAGTTCAAAACAAGCTTAGAAATTTCTTCTCTTCTCCCCCCTCCTCCTCAAATGAAGAGAGGGAGTCTACTTTTAGTCTATGAAATTGGGTCATTTTAGTTCATTATGGAATAACTTCCCCAACAACTTAATTAAAGGGCCTTCATTGATACCCCTTAATCATAGGAGTATTTTTTTAATGATTTGAGGGCCTTAAAGACATTGAAATTAAGCGAGCTTCAGATTGTTGGATTCCTCTTGTCAAGACACATGATTTTATTATAAATATGTTAAATTTTGAGTTCACTTGATGCACTAAAACTTTCAAATGTGCTTTAATAGCTTGATCTGTGCTTTATTGGACTAGGATGGAGTCAATTTTGGTATTATCAAGTTTGTGTTGTCAAGTATTCAACTTAATTATAAGCTTGCTAAAATTAGAGCCTTGAAAGATATTGAGTTTGATTCTAAAACATTTAATGATAAAAAAAAATTCATTGAAAGTCGTGCTAAAAAAATTTGTTAGCGACACACTAGTAATAAAATGATAAAAAGAAGGAATAATTAGGAGAGAAATAATATCAATTCACTTGATATAAATAAATAAAATATTATTTTCAATCATTTTTATTTATTTTATTTTCTTAGGTTTGGTGAGAGCTAAACAAAAAAAAAAAAAAAGAAGTTTCTAATAATTTATTCTAAAATATTTGAGTTTTAATAGTATTTTTTTATTAATAATTTTAAACAAGGTGACTTAGGGAGTCAAATTAACACTGGCTCATTAGTTCAACGAGTCAATTTGACTCATTAATTCAACGAGTCGACTTAGCTCAGTCGCACCTCGAGTTATGTACAAATGAAATGAGTTGTTGTTCATTTTATACTTCCTCCTCTTGTCACTTTTGGGAGAGATTGTTTTTATTTGGTAAAAAAAATGCAGGTGAGAGAATAAGGCACCATTTTTTTGGTTTGGGCCTTATCCCAGGGTGGTTATCATGGATCCTGAGCTCGTAAAGGACGTTTTATCCAGCAAATTTGGTCATTTTGAGAAGCCAAAACCATCACAAAATATAAAGCAGCTAGCTCTAGGGCTCGCAAATTATGAAGGTGAGAAATGGGCCAAACATAGAAGAATCATCAGCCCTGCCTTCCATGTTGAGAAGTTGAAGGTACTCTTTCATTTTCACGTCAAGGAACTTCGCATTGGTTAAGGAATCCAAATTTAGGGCTTCTATATTACCATTTTTTGTTCGTACAGATAATGATGCCGACATTTGCTGCTTGCTGTGATGAGCTCATAAGTCGATGGGAGGATTTGGCTGATAGTGCAGGTGTGTTAGAGATAAATGTTTGGTCTGAATTTCGGAACTTTTCTGGAGATGTCATCTCTCGCGCAGCATTTGGGAGCAGCTATATAGAGGGACGTCGTATTTTTGAACTACAGGGAGAGCAAAGTGAGCTTGTGATGCATTCTACTCGGACTTTGTATATCCCCGGTTTTAGGTACTTTCTTTTTATTATGTTTTCAGGAAGCAAATATCATATTGATTGAGCTTTTTGACCTTAAGATGCAGGCATCTGCACAAAACCATATGAACACTTGTGAAAATAAGAAATTTTATAAAAATCAATACAAATGATAATTTAATATTTTCTACTAGCAGCAATCTTTAGAATCTTGAATAAGAAAAATATGAAACTAATTAAAAATTATTTGTTTGTGAAAATTTAGTTTGTACCAGAATCGTTAGAACAATAACAAGTTTTGGTGATAGAAAATGTAGTGAGAAATTAAATCATCAATTCAATTATTCTCTTATATAAGGGGATAACTTTTCTTGAAAATCTTCAAGTCTCTCTTTTGATCAGTAGTGAAATCTTGAAACTAGAAGGATATGAAAATATAAATAATTTATAAAAAAAAATTTCTTTGAAATCCTACATGTTGATTACTAAAAACAATCATTATAATAACAGTGAATTGTTGAAAATACATTAACATTAGAAAGGTTTGAAATCCCTCATTTGATTGTTAGAAAGCTATAATAGCTACAAATCATATGCCAATATGTACATCAAAAATATGCCAGCACAAATCACAAAGACATCGCGCGGATGGCTGAAGTGATGGCGTAGCCCTACTGGACCTACCAAAGATGGTCTAGGACCACAAACTCAGCCGACCAACACCTAGCGTATCGAGAAGATAGTGCAGATCAGACAGATAAAGGGTAGATCATCACCTAAGAAATCCCTCTGCTAGATCTAGTCGAATGAACCTGACTCTATCCACCAGGATAGACCAAGGGCATCCAAACGTCTCCTCTAGTTTCGGAGCAGCAGATGTGAACCCTCAGCGAGCAGCCGCACAGACAGGTGCCCGACCTCACTATCACCCGACTTGATAGCCGCCCGACACAATGGCGGTCCGACCACATCTATGGGACCCAGAGGCAATATTTATAAATAGTCAGAACTACCCCGCCGTATCTACGTCTCTCAGGGGTACAATATGTAATTGTATAATGTCCCGTCCTTAAAAATAGGGATCCATTTTATGCATAAAGGTTACACAATTTTACTATTCAACACTATGCTTTTTGTCTCTCTCTCACCCTCTTTTAATCTTGAGTGCTTTATTCCTTGCGTGTGTCTCTCAGACAGATTTGAATTCAACATCCTAAAATGCACGGTGCGTATGGAGGCATGTCGTCGACAAGAAAAGGTGCACAATGATCCTAGATAAAAAGGAATAACCAAAGAATAGTAGCTAATATGAGTTGTCCACGAGATGGCACTGAGGAGTTAGTTAAGGTGGGGAAGTGGAAGGAACTTATGGCCTAAATACACTCAGGTCAGAGGCATGGGAAAGCACTAGCACTGGAGGCACCACCTAGACGCAACCGGACGAACGCCGTACTTGTCGCCGCGATAGTCCCGACCATCCTCGAAGGGATAGAAGCTCCGCGACGGACCTCCCTGAAGAGGAACAAAACGGGCGAGCTGTGTAGTCTTGCGTTCATACAAGAGGGGGAGGTTGTCCTCCTATTACATTCACGGGCAACGATCTTCCCTAGCGAGGAAATCCGTATGATGGACTATAGTCGTCACGGGGATAATCAACAACTTCCGAGTTGGAAGCATTTTTATTGACACTGGCAGCTCTGTGAATTGGCGATCACCTGGGGTGAAGGAGATAAGGTGTTCATAGAGAAGGAAGGTTTCCTAATAGTGGACTTTACCACAACATACAACGCCATATTTGACCGACCATTGCTAAACCTCTTCAGAGCGGTTGTATCCACCTAGCACGTTGCTGTGAAGTTTCCATGGGACAGAGAAGTGATCACAGTCAAAAGAGATCAGGAGCAGTCGAGGACCAGCTACCTTAGAGCAGTCACGAACATGGAGCACGAGTCGCTAGATCTGCAAAGCCGAAAGGAGGGCGAACTCGAGACCAATGAGGCCGCCCTAAAGATCCCAGTCGGAGAGAACGAACCTGATAAATCTTTCCTATTAAGTGATGGTTTTACTGCAGGGCATCGAGAACTATTAATTTAAACACTTCGGGACCACTGCCATGTTTTTGCCTGGATCGCCGTGAAGATGCCCGGGATACCAGCCAATGTCGTCTGCCACAGATTGAACTTGAACCCTAAGGTCTGACCAATTAAGCGGAAAATGAGGATCTCGGTGACCGCATTGTCTGAACCCATCAAGTAGGTGTTAAAGCTACAAGAGGCGGGGTGCATCCGAGAAGTGCAGTACCCCCTTGGCTCTCAAATGTCTTCATGGTTCAGAAGGCCAATGAGAAGCGGCAAATGTGCATCGACTTCACCAAATTGAACGCCGTCTGCTCGAAGGATTGCCACCCACTACTAAAGATTGACGCCTTGGTGGACGAAACCATGAAATACTCTGTAATGAGTTTCCTAAACACTTTCTCTGGGTATCACTGAATCAGGTTGCACCTAGCGGACGTCGAGAAGACTACCTTCATCACAGCTGAGGGAGTGTTTTGTTATAATGTAATGCCCTTCAGGCTTAAGTTTGTTGGAACCACATATCAACGTTTGATAGATGTAATCTTTAAAAATCAAAATAGAAAAAATATTGAGGTGTAAGTCAATGATATTCTCGTGAAAAGCCGATTGGCCAAACAACATGCAAGGGACTTGAAAGAAACCTTCCAAACTCCCAACAAATTAAATATGAGACTGAACCCCTTAAAAATGCACGTTTGGAGTCTCAATTGGAAAGTTCTTAGGTTTTCTCTTAACCTCCGAAGGCATAAAAGTGAATCTCGACAATATCCAGGCGCTGATTGACATGCCTCCCACTCCCTCCGGAATGCTCGAGAAGTCCAAAAGCTAACCGGCCAGATCGCAACTCTAAGTCGGATCATTTCAAGTTCCAGTGACAAGTGCGTCGTGTTCTTTAAAACTCTCTGAAAGATCGAGAGCTTCCAGTGGACGGATGAATGCCAACAAGCTTTCTAGAACCTTAAGGATTCCTTAGCTTCACCATCTGTCCTCAAAAGCTCGAAGCCAAGCAAATAGCTCTTTCTGTACTTAGGGGCAGGAGTTGAGGCATTCACCTCCGTGCTGGTTTGAAAAGAAGCGAGAAAGCAATTCTCATTCTACTACACCAGCCGCGTGTTGTGGGGAGCCAAGGTTTGTTATCCAGTTATGAAAAAGCTCACTTTTGCTCTGATTATGTCGGCTCGCAGATTGCGACCTTACTTCCAGACACGTCCCATCTGAGTGATTACGGATCACCTAGTGAAATCAGTGCTCATCAAGGCGGAACACTCAGGTTGACTACTCAATTGGGGAGTGAAATTAAGCGAATTCAACATCACTTATGCTGCTTGAATGGCTATAAAAGCCCAAGCAGTCATAGATTTCTTGGCAGACTTTTTGGGCCAAAGGACACAACGGGAGAAAGTCAAAGCGGACGACTTGAGTGGATACTATACTTGGATGGCTCCTCGAATAGAACCGGAGTAGGACTTGAGCTTGCTCTGAGTAGTCTCGCTAGAGAACACGTATACCATTCAATGACCATAAAGTTTGAAATAACAAACAACCAGGCAGAATACAAAGCTTTGATCGCTGGTCTGCGTCTAGCTTAAGGGATGGGCGCCCGGACCCTCGTCTTGAGGTCAGACTCATAGCTTGTGGTGGACCAGATAAACAATGACTTTGAAGCCAAAGATGAGATGATGATGAAGTACCTTAACAAGGACAAGGTGGAAATCTAGAGATTCACGCAGTTCCAGATCGAATATACAGCTGAGAAGAAGACCAGGTGGCCAATTTTCTATCCCAATGTGTTCGCTTGGGAAATGGAGAACCACAAGTCCTCAGCCGGCTAGTCATCAATGAGCCCAAGGCTATGAAGACTAAGAGCGAGCAAACCAAAAGCTGGATAGGTCCATACGTCAGATTCTTAGAAATGGGGAACATCATGACAGAAGTCACGAACTTGAGGAGGTTCAAGTGCAAGGCCGCACAATACCTTCTAATGGAAGAATGCTCTTCTGGAAATTGACAACGTCGATGTCCCTAAGGTGCGTCAGAGAGAGCGAGGTAGAGGACTTTCTCTTGGACATTCATTTTGGGGAATATGAGAGCCATTCCAGAGGAATGACATTGGTGCACTGTGTCCAATGACAGGGATATTTCTGGCCAACACTATTAAGGGATGTCAAAACATTCTCCAAGCGCTGTAAACAATACTAGAAATATAGTTCGCCATAACATCAGTCAGCTCACAAAATATGCTGATCACCAGCCCGTGACCCTTTGTCATCTAGGGTCTAGATATTTTCGGACTATTTCCACCTTCCCAGGGATGATGACGCTTCCTCTTAGCAGTAGTGGATTACTTTTTCAAATGGATCGAAGCCAAAGCACTGGCCCGGATCACAACTGACTCGTCCGAAACTTTATCTTTACTGACCTGATCTGCCAATAAGGCCTGCCACTAGTGATCATTACGGACAACGGAACACAGTTTTTGATAAAAAGGACCAGAGTATTTGCCACGACCAAGGAATAAATCAGACTTGCCTCAGTTCATCTTTCGTGAACTAAAGGTTAAGTCGAGGCGCCCAATAAAATCATCCTTAACTTATTAAGGAAGAAGGTAGAAGGTGCAAAAGGCAGTACTGTGGAGATTCTCCTATCTGTTGTATGGGCCGTTCGCACAACTTCGTCAACCACTATCGACCAAACACCATTCATGCCGTCGCACAAGATGGGGATCATGCTGCCAGTAGAATATAATCTCCACAGCCAAAGAGTTCTTGCGTCCACGCCATTTGAAGAAAATAATCCCCCAGATTTGCTGGAGGCGAACGACAAAGGAGCAATGCTCGCGCTTGACCTTGTGGATGAGGCTCAAACACATTCGACACTGCTAAAGGATGAGGTCAAGAGGAGGGCTGCCCGCTACTACAGTAGTCATGTCCGAGAAAAAGTCCTCTCTCGGGGATTTGG